TTAGCCACTACCCATTTGGGATGTGAGAGACTCACTCTCTGCCCGATTGCTTAGCGTGAGCTTTGAAGCATTGGGACTGTTCCTACATGGAATAACCTTCCTTTGATTGCCTATACCCCATGTTTATGATAATATGAAGCGAAACTCCTTTTATCGAGAGTATTCTTGGGCATCCCCAAATATGTAATTAACTAGTAGGAACACATTCCTCTGAGAGTGCTCTTGACTCCAGAACAGGTACATACACCTGACTCTTTGGTTATGGGTAGTCTATGTAGATACTTCTTTCGCGGATATTTGGTTAAATTGCCTCTGCCCGATCTTGTTTGGGCGGATATTCTTAACCTATCCTTGCGAGATTTATCGTACGTAGACTCTCCACGTTTTACTTTTTCTCTTGTTTGTCACTTTGTCGTATGTCCATTTTTATTCGATTCCTCTCCTCTTCAAATCATTTATATGGTTCGGGAGGGAGATTTATTCGAATAGGGGAAGTATACGACGATCGACAAGCTGGCGACTCCCTTTTAAAAATAAAAAAAAGTGAAAAATGAACGGAAACAGTACTTCCTTTATATCTTCATCTCTTTCGTATTGTGTATTTATTTTCCCTTTTGTTGAATTTTTCTGGTTATTAGTTTATTTTTAAATTTTTTTTTGTGGTTATTAGGAATTTTTATCTTTCCATTCTTGATTTGAGTTGTGATGGCTGTTCATAGTGTTACTGATATCAAGGTAGATGCACATTTCAGTTTGAAAATGAGGAAAAAAAATTGAAAAGACAAAACAAAAAAAATCATGAGCTTTATGAGCAAATTGGAGACTTGTAATTACTAAAAGTTACCACCCCATCTCTTCTCACTGAAATAATTCTTTCCACGATGCATGTATTGAAGTGATATTTGGCTTTCTGAAACTCTGCAGCTTAAGAAGAAAAAGCGAGTATGATCTTGCCTGATTTGGTGGCATTGGTGGGTTTTTGGAAAGGAATAAATTTTCCGACTGGTTGATTTTTAGTCATATTTGACATGCTTGCATGAGCACTTATTGGGCAATCCAAAAAATTGTTTTATGAGAGAAAAGAAATTGCATTGCTTACCATTCTGGTGGTAATGTTTTATTTTCAATGTTAAGTTCAACTCAATTAAAATATATGGTCAATTTAGCCACATATTTCTCTGAATCCCCACAGGCCCAATTTGCAGGCTAAACTTTCTCTTCACAATTTATAGAACCACAATCCTATAACCCAAAATCTTATATCGAAATTGCTGAATCATAAATCTATCTAAAGTTGCTATTTCACATATCATCAATATTAATGGAGACAATTATCATATTTCTTTTCCATAGACAATCCTAAAATATTATCTTGAAAAAGGCTCATTTCTTCAAGATTCTATCGAAATATTGATGAAACTATACTAATTTTGTTAAAAATCAACACAATTTTAATGAACAAAATTAATACATTGCTTATAGCAAAACTATTTTCTACAATATTCTCCAAGATAAAGAGTGAGGTTTTGCTCTTGATCAGGTTAAAACAATTATTACAAACACTCGAATTCAGCTATGTAAGGCTTATTTTTGTTTAATTATTGGACATAAATCGAAGTCATAAATAAGGCTTTTTATACTATTAATCTTAAGAAAAAAACATTGATAAATATTTATGATGTTGACAAAAATATTATCTGCTAATATACTTCTTTGGTTTTATCAATAAAATTGTGGTGCGATAATCAAATTTATTCTACTATTATTTTTTTTTACTCAATGCCCAATTTTGTCGATCTGATAATGAAACCTAGAGATCTAATATGATCATTTAAAGTATAAATATTTAATTAAAAATTTGTTGTTAAATGGTGGACTATATTTAAAGTTGATGTGAAGCTTAAATCTATTGATAAAGTGATTGTAAAGAACAAATGAATGCTATTCAATACTACTTAAAAAGATGAAATCTCATTAAAAACTTCATAATAATCTCCAATAAAAATTTTTTAACGAATCAACAAAGGAGATCAAGAAAAGCATGCAAAAAAAAAAAAAAAAAAAAAAACATTTTTTTTTATTGAATGAAGAATAAAAGATGTCTCAATCTGGCAAGACATCAGTAGTCAGTGAAGCATCTTAATAATTGGGAAGACATACACCAAACAATAGTACAAAAACTCATGATTTCAAAAATCTATTGAAGCAACGATCACTTCAAGTGAAGGAATCAGGGCCCCACTAATAACAATCTCTGTACTACTTATAAATATGTTACAGCTTTTAAATATCATGCGATAATGAATGAATCTAATTTACCAATCAAGCTATCACTTAAAAAAGAATATGATATTTTTATGGTTCATTATAATTTGTGTTATGAGTCGATGTTCAATTGATTCTCAAGTCTATATATAACCTAATTTATGTAAGAGTAATTGATTTTTGCTGGAGTGTTTATCTAGCTAACAAAATATTTATTTTGAGTTTTATTATTCTACAAGTTTTAGGTTATAAATATTAAGTCTGTTTAATGGTTTTATTTTAGTTTTATGTAGTTTTTATTTAGTTCTTTATTTAAGAGCCAAAATAGTATAAGAAAATTACAATAAGAACATAGAATAAACTTAATATTAATAACTTAGAGCTTACAAAAATTTAAAGCTCACAATAGTAGTTTGTTAGTTTGACAAACACCTACAAAGTCACCATACTCTTACATAGATTAGATATATATAGACTTGAAAATTAACCGAACTTCAGGTAATAACACAAATTACACAATGGACAATAAAAAATGTTTAATTATTTTTTTAGGATAATTTGATTGGTAAATTAGATTCATTATTTGTCACATGATTCTTTTTAAGTTGAAAAATATATCTGATTAATATAGAGGTTGTTATTGGTGGTTTTTTAATTCTTTATGGATGAGTTAGTCTTCGCTTTAGTCATTTTTTAAAATTATGAGTTGTTTAAACTAATGTCTGGTGAAAATATTTTCAATTATCAGACATGTCTTCACTGGCTGCTGATGCCTTTTTAGACTGAGACATTTTTTCTTCCTGTTATAAAAGTAACTGTGCAAGTGTTGACCTCATTTTTAGTGAGGTCTAGTCTTCTTCTTAGGATTTAAGATCTAACCTTAGGGTTCTCCCTTTGATTATCTTAGAGCCTTAAAAATGGGACCCGACTCATTTTAGAAATTCAATCTACTTCTTTACTCTTTTGAAGTTCCATGTGTTGTTCTTGACCTCTAGCACTTACAAGATTGAAACTAACATGAGGGAACTCAAAAGGGAGTCCCTATAGGAGCTTTAAGCATTAGAGTTGCCTTTTGCACAATTTGCACTTCCGCACACACAACATTCACAATTCGGACAATTGACACGTTTAAACACTGAAATTCGCATCGCTCGAATATTTATTTGCTTCAAAATTAATTAAAATTAGGATTAAATTTTGAAATGATCGATTGCGAAACGAAATTTTAATGAAAATTAAATTTAACGTGTTTTTGGCCAGATTGTGGATGACAAAACAGATCACGCCGGTGAGTCCGGAATGTTGAAATTATCTAAGGAGGACACTCATTTTACTTGGGCACCGCGCACGAATAAATTGCATGAAATTAATTTGATATATATATAAGGATTTTTTAAATATATATATATAAGTTTTCTTTGAAATGATTGACCGCGAACCGAAATTTTGACAAAAACTGAATTTGACTCGTTTATATATATATATATATTAAAAAAATCCTTATTTTCTTCCCTAAAAATCCCTAAATCCCAAAATCCATGGCTCACGCCACGCCTCCCTCTCCCGTTCGCGAGACCGACGGCACCTCCCTCTCCCGAGACCGACTCCGATCGCGAAGCTCCGGCCGAGGTCCCCCTTCCGCGTGCTTCCCTACCCTGGCTAAAGGCTTACACGCCTGAAAGCTTCGCCTAAAGGCTTACCCCGCGCGACTTTTGTCGCTTCTCCTCGGCTCACCGCCCAGGTGAGTGCACCCCATTTTGGGAGTTCCTTAGGGTTGACCGAAAATTTTTGAGAAGGGATAGGTGCTGCCAAAAAAAATCTGAGTTCTTTATTAGTTGTGGCATTTTCTGTGGAATCCCTGGAGCTCTCTCTCTGGCCTAGAGATTCTTATGCTTGATTTTCTTACTCATCAGGAGGTAATAGGTAATAATTCTTTCCTTTTCTCCTCCATTTTGATCAGCTTGGCCTGCAGAGGGATTCTTAGTCTTGCAAGTGGCTTTTGATTAAACAACTGCTATACAAAACTTGTGTGTTCGCATAGCCGAATCTTATATATGGTTGCTTTTCTTCTTCTCTTGCCAACTCATCCGATATTCCTGTTTGGCTTACCTTTTGCTTCAACCATTGCACATTTGTGCTGTGAATGTCACCTGCTCTACCTTGTACTATTGGTGGGATGTTTTGCTTGTAAATAAAGGAAAATTCACATGACCAGGGTGCAGTTGTATGCGTCTATATATCTCACACTCAAACTCCTATATTTACATGTATAACACTTTGAAGCGTTGGACATGAAAAAGGTGTATTACACCCTTTTGAAGTTAGATATTTTGATATGCCTTCGATGATTCGAGCGACATATATATGATATACGTAGGTATGTTTTGACATGATTGTGATGAATTTGTGCACTTGTGTTTTGATTTCTTATTTTGAAGAAGATGTATGTACATGTCCAGATTTTGGTTTTCTTTTGATTTCGTATTTTGAAGAAGATATAGGTACATGTCCAGATTTTAGTTTTCTTTTCCCTATGACCAATCTGTACATACTCATCTTTGTTTCTTCATCCCAGAGCGGACATACACATGCAAATTTTCTCCACCCTCATATGCCTATATACATAATACTTGTTTCCTCAACTGTTTAAGTGGTTCAGACGCTGCTCTTCACGTTTCAAATAGCTGGCTTATGCACCTATTAGGACAAATATGTTTTTTTTAATTCTTTTTCAATTCGGTTATCCATGATGGCTAGTGAGCATTGGTTAGATAGCAGTGCAAAATTTTTTTTTTTTTGCTGCTGCTCTCTCTCTGATTGCGGCAGGGAATGCAGTTATGTGAACTTATTACATGGTTGTTAGATGAATTTCTGAGAAACATAACTAGTACATGCTACTTAATTCTTTACGTATGCGCCACTCAATTCTTTACATACATATCACTCAATTCCTTACATGCTTGTTGAAATTTTAAAGGCATCGAGAAGCTTTTATTTGTTGTTCATACATTTCCCATGTCAGAAAAAGATGTTTGAAGCTATCAACGATTTGAAACATTTTGATATTTGAACCTTGCTGTAAATCCCACTTGAATGCCAAGATCGTTAAGCAGTCTTTATCATTTGCGGTTCATAATCTATAGAAATGTGGCTGGGGGGATTTTGTTGTGATGATTTCTTGTCTGGCAATATTAATCTTTCTAATCCCCGTCACTTGGAATTGCCCCTGATTGTATTTTCTGGTGTACCTGGAATTGAGAAATTAAAGTCGCTTCAAGAACTAGATGAGTTTAATGGTAAGAATGAGAATGGTTACAGAATTGGTGAATTGGAACATATGAGCGAGTTGCGCAAATTAAAATACATTTTCTGAAAATGTGAGGGATGCTAGGGAGGCTCGCACAACAAAATTGCTTGAGAGGAGAAAACTCAAATTTATTCTTGAATTGGGGCAGAACTATTGATGAATGGGAATCATACAGGGGAGTTGAAAGCCTACACGCCACACAATTCTTTAGCATTTACACATCTAACACCCAAATTTCAGTTCTCACATATGTGTTATCTTGTCTATGCATTCAATTGTGTTATTTCTTTTGGACTATCAAAAATTTCGGTGGTATATATGTAAGTGCTGCATATGTAAATACTTGAGAATTGCATGGTTTGTATGTAAATTTTCCTTAGTTCTGTTTCACTGGAGTTTGAATTCCAGATTTTTAAATATATAAGGGCTGGATGGTTCGTATGTTTGTGCTTGAGTTTTTTTACATATATGGATGTTATGCAGAATTTAGCCTCTTGTATACTCGTCACCTAAACAAATATACATATGAGTGCAAATTTCGCTTGATCCTTTATGCATTTACATACATACCATGCAATTCTTATATATTTACATATTTAACACCCAAACTTCATTTTTACACACATGTCATTCGAGTCCATTTGGATATCTCTTTATATAAATTGTTGCTCGAACACTTTGGGGGATAATTTTTGACTAATGGTGTTGGTATTTATTGGAAAAAAATAAGAGCTTGAAACTTCTTTTGGGTTCTTAATTCATGGGGATTTGGAGGTGCCGCCTTGGGCTTTGGAAAAGATTTACATGTGATACTTGTATGAGAATTCTGAAACTTCGGGGAGTTTACTTTTTGGAAATAAGAACTTGATCATTTTATTCATGAGAATTTCTGAAGCTTTGACGAGGTTGACACTATGTAAAATTTGAGGTTGTGTGGGTTGCTTTAATTGAGTTGGGAGTTTAGTTGGCTTTCTTTGGGCTTCTTTTGAGCTGCAGTTATGCGACTCTGACGGTGACATTTTCGATACAATATGAAAGATTTGGATGACGTGAGTGCAACATTTAGGTCTAGGCTTGGGTGTGTGATTATGTAAGTGGTGGCGGAGCTGTGTATAAAATCGTCGCATTGATTTGAGCCCGTTTCGACCTGTTCGAAACAAGATTTGGAAGGGATACCCTTCTTGGGTTGATCTAATTATAAAAATTAGAGGAAATGATACCATCTTGGGTTGATTCGTGGATCGTTGAGTCTCATTTAGTGAGTCAGTTTTGTGGCTTTCAGGTCTCATTTAGCGAGTCGTATTTAGTGAGTCGGTTTTGAGGGATGATCCGCCTCTGTTACGTTGTGTTTTAGGCGGTATCATTTCCTCCTCTCTCTCTTCCTTGCCTTTAGTTCTTTGTTTCTTCTTACTTCTTGGCCTACGTCGCGTGCCTATATAGGACGCATATGTGCGCACTATGTGGGGCCATCAAGCAAGGCTGTAAGTGGAGTGTGTGAGGTTAAGGACGATGATAAAATTGCATTATAGAGAATCGAGTCCTTTAGAATAATATCTCCCAACTCAGAGACCCTGAAGAGGGTAGAGTAGAGAATTTTTGCAGATACTATTCGCCCATCCTTGAGGTTTCTACCGCCGGCAATTTAAAGTTGCTAGCAGTCCTTGTTCGACTAAAATATTCAACTTGTGGATTGAATTATTTTTTTTAAAAAAATATAAAAATATATATAAATACATTTGAAAAATACAAAATCACCCCCGTTACAAAACAACCTATTTACCTACGACTTTTAATTGCATGCAGATCCAGACTGAAATGTATGAAAAATTTTACAAAGGTCCACGGTTGGCTACTCGAGTCAGATTAGGGCTGTTTTCTGCAGAAAGTCGGATTAGTAGTCAGTACTTAAGGTTGTGGTCTACAACACAGCTCTGAGTCCTCACCACCAAGCTTACGGTCTTTTTGAACTTGTAGTCCATTCTGGTGTTTTCTTCATTTTTTTTCTTTCTTTCGGATTGTCTACAAGTTTACCTCTATGGATTTATTCGGATTTCCTACGAACTTTGTTTTGTTTCAGATTTATTACGGAATGTTCCTTTTCGACTTTTTCCAACTTTTTGATTCTTTTATTTCGTTTCTCCTACACACATTACACACACACATGCCCAATGTAGTTTGCTTATTCTATCTTTCAGTGTATATTCTTCTGTCGGATGTATATTTTTCACATTACCACTGCATGATTTCATTGCAGATTAACATGCTTTTCTTTTACACTCTCCCTTAGATTGGGATGCAGTAGCAGCTCCTAAGTGGTACTCACGATAAATTGGTGACCTCACCTTTTGCATTATTTCAACCTTAACATAAGTTATTAATTATAATAATAATAATAAAATATTATTTATTATAATTAACACTAAATATGTATTTTTTTCAAGATGTGCCATTGCAATGAAACGAATATCCCCCTTAGGCAAAATTGATGTTCTGGGCCCATCGACGCAGTCCGTTTTGTCATCCGGAGTCGCCGGGCAACCTCGTCGTCGATCGGGTTAAAAACGCGTCGCGGTCTGAATCTTATGAAAATTTCAGCTCGAATTCGATTAAACAGGACGGCGAAGAGCGCTGCGACGTCAAATCAACGAGTACAGTCAATCCTAAGCCCGACAGTCCTATAGTCCTATAGGAATACTCCCTGAGTTCTTTTAGAGTAGTCTTACCTGCTAACCAATATCGGTCAAAACTACTACATGGAACGTCAAGTCGAGCGAAGAAAAGTTCAGAATTGCTAACGGGAAGGGTTCCTTCACTAGTTTTTTAGGAGTAGTCGACAGAAAGGTCCTACGGTTAGATCATAGACTACTAAGAAGGGGAAAATTACATTTCGACCGAAAGCGAGGTCAACATGCTAGTAAACAAGCTAACAATTTAAATGAGTACTTGATTTTTTATATAAAATTATTAAGAAATGATTATATAAATTTAATTTAAAAAATTTCAAATTAGTATGCAACTAGTTTTTATCAAGTAAATAAAATAATATATAAGTTGTAAGTAATTATTTTTGCAATCAAATAACATAAATAAATGCTGACAAATTAATTCAGTGAAATAAAAAAAAAGAAAATGGCGCATTAAATTTATATGCAAAGTGCTATTAAATTATTATATGTTATTATTAAATAGACAATTAAATAATTTATATTTAATTAAATTTTATTTGAAATAATTTATCATACAAGTATAGAGCATTTAATAAGTATTTTGTTGAACAACAAACGAGTTTATTTGTGAACATTAATAAACGAGTTAGACAATGTTTAGATTTGGTTCATTTAAACTTACAATTTTAGAAAATATTCTAATGTGAACAAAGATGTTCTAGTATTAATCGATCTGAGTTCGAGTTGTTCATCAAGTGTATTGTTTCATTTACAACTCTAGCCAAAAGTGTGAAAGTGAGTGTTGAAGCTTAAGGAAATGCTGAAGTAGATTGAAGGACTGCCGAGAGATGGAGATTCATTAGGGTCTGTTGAGAAAAACAAAATCACGACCTGTTATGCTGGTGTCGAGCTTGAGGGCAATTTTGCTTTGTGTGCGCCTTAG